TTATTTCCTAATTTAATCTAATTCTAATTTGAGTTAACGCTCTGATTCGGATATCATTTGCTATCGCCTATCTATCACCTATCACCGCACTTATTTAAAATTTGTTGAGGTGGAGGAGGAAACCTAAATCACTTAAGACAGATATGCGTCAAAAACTGAAAATTGATGAAATAATCTAAGAAATGGGTGAAGCAGATATGTTGTTCACAAAATACGAACCTCATGTGTACATGCGGTCTCTCTACAACCACCAATATCTACACGTCTTCTCCACTAATTTTTTGGGTTGTTTCATCGATGTTGGGTTTTCTCGCGTGTCCACGACTATTTCTTCGGGTGTGGGTTTGTGTGTTTCGATGTTGAAAATGAAAGAGCATCACAAAAATGACGTGAAGAAGTTTTAAGTAAGTGCGGTGGTAGGTGATAGATAAATAATCGCAAATGATAGCAAAAACAAAGCGCTAACTTAAATTGGTAAGAATAACGTTTTAGGAGCTTTTATTCAGATGAAAACACGTTTTGCAAAAGCGAAAACGATAACGGGAAGCAAACCCTCATCTCTCACCTGGAGAGAGAGAGCAGTGCCACACGTCACGGGTACTGTTGTAGCCATTGCGGGCAGCTGGGCTTATCCATTAGCACTATCTCTCCATGCTTNTTCTTGATGACTTTCCAAGCCCCATTGGTTTACCTAGTTCTCTATTCGACGTTCCATGGGAAGTGTAAACACTTCCCTGGTGAGTCTCTTAAATGTATCCACAAGGTCGCCTCTTGTTCCAGTAACTAAAACGTCATCAATGTAACGTTTGTATATTCCACTAGTTAATGGTGACTTCTTGATGTTGTCCAAGATGTCTACGAGCACAGGTGCTATGCGATTACCCAGGGTTTTCTTTTTGCTTGTGGAACTTATTGCCGAAGCAAAAGTGTTGCATTCCAGTGCTGTTTCAGAGATCCTTAATTTCGCTGACGAATGCAAATCATATCTCTTTAATAACGTTTAAGAATCTGGAGAAAGTGGTTTAATGCTGTCGAGAGGGAGAGGAAGGTTCAAAGTTATATGGCGGGCGGGGATGCGCGGAGGTGGGTGAAGCTATGATTATATCGATGACATTTTTGATGTGTCCTCTGTCGTGTTGAACGCATCGGTGTGTTTTAGTCTAACTGATGACAAGTAAAGCCAAAGGGAAGGTCAGCTTACATTCAGCACACCGGCTGTGATCGCAGTATCAAAGCGTTCGCCGCTTAGAATCTTTGGGGAAGGATGTTACTGATGGTGGATGTTTTCAGAATGGCTTAAAACAAATGATTCAGCGGAAGATTTGCTCCCTAAACTGTGAGGCCTCTTAACCCTTTGACGACAGCGCGGCTCAAGGGTGAGCCACGGTTTTTTGGTCGCGTGGGACAACGCGACTCTACTGTGGACCGCACCCTTCTCATCGGTTGTTTTCCTCGATTTTTAGTTTTACTTGGAGTTTTTTGTATTTGATGGGTTTGCTATCACCAAATTACACTATACACAAAGTGGGCTAGGAAAAACATTGCTAATTTCTGAAAACTAATAAATTCATTCTCTCTATGGAAATCACACTTCTGTGCATTTTTTGAAAACAATCGATGTAAAAATGACTTTCACATATACTGCCCCTAGAATTGACTCGTCTTTTAGGGGTGTGAACTCTTCCATAAGCTCGAGATAGTTGTTTGTAAGATTTTCTGAAAGCCTGTCCTACTTTTAACTGTCTCGACTTTTATCAGTATTCCTGTATTCCTTTTCGCCTTTTCGAGTGTCGGACAAGTGGGTGTTATTAGATTGTTCGGATAGGAATGCGCGTTCGAGCTTAAAAAATACTTATTATAAAAACGAAACTAAACAAAAACCAAAACAACGAAACACAATTCAAAAGAAATCCTCCATTACTATCAATGACTTGTTGCCAACGCTTACGCAAAGAATAGATTCTTCTGAAGAACTCGGCCGGCTGCGACTCAAAGTAGTTGGACACCCAGAGTTGGAATTCTTCGCGGTTTTTGAACTTTTTCTCGATCGAGGAGTTCTGCATCGACCGGAACAGGTGGTAATCAGATGGTGCCAGGTCTGTGCTGTAAGGCGGAAGAGGCTGAACTTCCCAGCCCCTATTCCTCAATTTTTTCCAAGGTGGTTTTCACGACACGTGGACGAGCGTTGTCATAGAGGAATTTTGTCGACGTCTTTTCAATACCTTGACGACCCAGTGCTTGGTCCACGCGGCTCAATTGTTCTTTGTAAATGTCCGCCGTAACCGTTTGGCCCGAATCCAGGATTTCGCAGTACACTAAACCTTTGCTGTTCCAACAAACACAGAGCATCACCTTTTTGCCGAGTACATCCGGTTTCGGAGTGGGTTTTGGAGTGTCACCGGCGTTTATCCACTGTCGTTTTCGTATTGTGTTGTCGAAACAGAACCATTTATCTGATGCAACAATAGAGTTGAAAAAACCATTGCTTTGGAGCTACGAAGAAGAATTCCTGCAATCGCCACTCGTGTTGCCTTGTTGGTGTCGCTCAGCTGGTGCGGTACCCATTCTCCGCACTTGTTCGTCTTGCCAATCGCCAGCAAATGCTCATGTATGGTAGAGTTTGAGCAGCCAAAATGTACTGCCAGTTCCCGGGTGGTTTGGTGTGGATCCGAATTAATGACGTCCTTCAACACTTGGTTATCGACGACTTGAGGCCGACTTCCATGTTCTTCGTCCTCCAAGCTTTCATTCCTTTGTTGAAACGCTGGAACCATGGCTTTCTGACAGGGCTTCATCGTCGAATACTTCAGAGATGGTACGATGAGGTTCAGCAGCCGATTTTCCTTGCTTCAAGTCGTACCACATGCAAGCTCGCAAAAGCGATTTTTGGTCAAGCATCTCTTAAATTTTTTTTTCTTCAAAAAAAAACGAAGTAACATAGCCAAAAATACAAGATGCGCAATAAAAACTCTTCCTAATAGACGAAGTGGTCAAAGTCAGCGCGTATTCCTTTCTGAACAACCTAATACGTTCCAATAAGTCATTCACTAGTTATCGGTATATAGATGCACTCCTTGATTCAAGAGTCCGTCCATTAGTCATGACCGTAACAAATATAGCTGCTGAGTCCGTGTTTGTGGGCTGCCTACCGGAGTAAATCTTGGATCTAAATCTTAAGTTAATCTTAGCCTCCCGCGTGAAACACCTCCAAAGCGTAGCTTAAAATGTTCTATTTTTGTCGGGTTCGACCAATAGTCTATCAAAACCACCCTCTGAATCGTCCACTGCAGGCTGATCTATTTCGACTCCCGAGGCCATATTATGCATAAAACGAGCCTTAACTAAAGTTGAAAACTCACAATTACCCAATTTACACCTGTTTCCAATTAAATCACAAAAAAACGTCTGAAAAAAAAGGCAAAAGTGTTCACTCCAGAAAAATGTATCACCCGTGGAACAGCGCGACTCAACGGTGAGCCGCGGAAGCGAAAAGCTCCGAAATGCGTCTTCCCCGCGCCAGACACGCAAAAAGGCGTGTTGTCGTCAAAGGGTTAAGGAGTGAGATATTGAAACAATATCGAAAATTCGTTATTTTTTATAAAAGCCTCGGTGTTTTTGCCTTTATCTATCTGAGATCTTACAGAAGCTCACGTACGATTCTTCCTCGATCTATCCCTCTTTCTAGTTTATAAGCGCTCTGTTTACTATGCACCAACCAAGATATTTCCAGCGATTCGCGACATGAGCAAGAAAGCGAAAATTATATGGGAACCAGTCAGTGAGTACTTGACTACCAGTGAACTTATAGACAGTTTGGAGACAGCCTTATCTCTTTGCTCAACTGGTGATATAGTTCTGACTGCTACTGAAGGCCGTGACAAAACTTCGCTCTTCACGGAGGTAGCTTTCCTTTTGAATTTTGAATTCTTTCTTTCTTTTTTCTTTTCTTTCTTTCTTTTTCTTTTTCTTTTCTTTTTCTTCAGAAACTGTTGGTTAGCTTAACATTTTAGTTCTCTCTTCTTCAATGCGACAACTGTGGCACTGTATGCAGTAAATCTGAACAATTTCTTCTGCATATTCTCGAATGCATGTACGATGAAAAACATGTACTATTCTATAAAGCACTCGGAATGATCCCCAAAAGTGCTCAGCGGATTCTGGACCGCAAATTTGAAGAGGGTTCCTCTATGGTTGGAAGGTGAGTGCTTGCTTATTTTGCATTTTGATGTTTTCATGTGATGCAAGTGCCACCAATGCTTGGAGACGGTGTACGATTTAGGGAAGGGGTCCGTCCTATAATAAAGAATTTATGATTTCCCTCACTCACATTCTTCGACGCGAATATCGCTACTGTAAAGCCGGTAGCTCTGTTGTTCAGTTCCTCTGTAGCTAGCCCTTCAACAGTCAACTATGATGGAATTCTTAGTGTGGAGAATCTTTCAATATGATCACCGTTAAAACTAACATTTCGTCAATATTTCGAGAGCGCCCATACAACGGCATTACTCTTCCACGCGTTTAACAGTTATTTCGCGAGGACTCTGTAGTGTTTACGATAGCATAGTTCGCAAAAGTTCTGAAACACAAGAAGGAAAGCTTAGCGTACTCATACGAAAGGGCTCTTTTGCCGTCGTTCTTAAGTGGTTCGCATTTTCGCTCCGTCATGTGGACGCTACGTTATGCATTTTTATTTTCTCAAGGGTCAGTACCACTGCAACATTTCTGTTTAATCGCTTGCTCTTACGCTAAAGATTGATTGTCTGCTGATAACTTTACATCAAAGGTTATCTACACAATTGTGTTGTACGACGAAAGTGACAAAACAGGAATCTTAGGCTCAATGCGGACATGACGCCAACAGTAGGCATACTGGAAATGGCAGTTGTGTTTTGCATCAGCAGCTGCTTTTCAGATGTCTATTATGAAAAGGGAGAGAGAAGTCAATGGTCAGAGAGGAGTCAATAGGCTTCAAGCTTGCTTTTCAGAGCACTACAGAACAATCAAGAACTATGTGTAATGACTCCTATAGAATCTCCTCTGGCTCCTTTTATCTTTTGTGGGATCACTGTAAGTACCAAAGAACCGAAATGCAAAAACACGTATACGAAAGCAATGGTGGAGGTGAGCTCTGAAATCTTGATATTTTTCTTCTATTTTCTATTTCTATTTCTTGCTCATTTCACTTAAGAAATCCCTAACCTGATGGGCTGTAGTTCATGGTAAGACATAATGCGACTATTGATCATAATTCATTGTTCAGATGGGCGTAGATTCAATCCGCCTTTTGAGAGTGTTACCCGCCCTAACGAGATATTGTAATATGAACAAAATCTGTGTGGCGAAATTTCGCTCACTGTCGAAAAGGTGCACTCATATCTCAGTTCTTTCGTCTCTACTATAGAAATGTTTTTCAGTCTTACGAAAGAAAATGAGTGGACTATCGAGGTTGTTGGCTTCGTCAGATCCGTGCATATTTTGCTCTCAGAATTGACTATTGAACATTTCATGAAAACTGCAGCAACTCAGAGCTCGCAGGGAATAGCATCCTACCTCCTAAAGAGTTTGCCCATCTTGATCCATCCAATTTAATTAAAAGGAAATGAGATTGTGCTAACCTTGAAGTACTTCTGCTCATGTAGAAGTCGTAGTAACTGAACTGGGCGAAGGAATCAGCAGAGGGATAGGTCTAGGAGGTGAATAAGGGTTCACGCGACAAATTCTTTTGATTCGGCGTGACGTTCAGTTTCTCGACATTTTCCTTACTACCAATTTCTTAGCCTATCTTCTGCTCCGGAAATTTCTTGTGCGGATTCCCACCTTATCAATTCTTGTCACTGCTTGGTTGCATGTTTGCAACAAATAACAGCTGAAACGCAGGTCCGAACGTGGGTATTGAGGTATTATTGGTTTAAATATTGGTCTTTCAATACAGCGTCCACGGAGTGCGCTAACCATCTCCCTCTGAAATGAGGCTGGGCGCAGGAGAATTCTCTAGTGGTAATGGTTAAGCTGACGTTGACATTTGAGTCGCTGCGGCTGGAATCTTATCCTCATTTTTTGTGCTGATAATGGCCGTCTGCATTTCGAAGAACTCACGAGACTGTTTTTTTTAAATGTTTCCTTTGTTTTCATTGGTTCTAGTCATCTATCTTCATCTGAAAATGCAAGGCTCGTGGATGCCTGGAATCTTCACATCGTCACGCTTCTAGGCAACAACGGAGCTTCTTCGCGCAACATGCGTCGAAGAATAGCGGAAGCTTTCTGACCGAAGAGTTGAGGTTTTGAAATGTTTAAGTCTATTTCGAAACCTCACTGTCTTGTTTTCGAATTGAACTCCACCGAGATTTTTCTTTTTTATCGAACCATCCTAGACACTCGAAGTCTCTTTCGTACTTTAAGGGCTACCTTGCTTCGCTTCCCTCCTGAGAAGTACAAATGAGCACCACCTACATACAGTAGCGCTCAAAAGTATTCCGCGAAATGCTTCTTCAGTTATAATTTTCAATCGTAGCTACTTTCCTACTGGATCTAATCCCGCGAAATTTCAATATGTGTAGCATGTGTAGGGTGAATATTTACCACTCTTAACCTGCATTTTGATTGTGTTCCGAAATCCCAAAGAAGTTGAAATCGATACCAGCTGAAAATAAGGACATTGGTGCTTCTGAGATTTCTTTCCTTTTTTGCCATGTCCAAATGTACGAGCGCTAATGTCGAACACAGAAGATGAGAAAAACGCAAATAAGGTGCGAATAACTGCAGACGTCACAAACTTGCTTCCAGCTACAAACGCCTTACCCTTAGTTGTGTGGACATTGCTGCTTTGCAGGTAAATAGTGTTGGATAGTGTGAAATATGCTTCAGTCAAACATATCAAAGTTTCATGCAATTTGCTCCACAGGGAAAAATTTACGGCAAGTTAAAGTTGGCCGAATACTTTTCAGCACTACTGTATATTGCTACCTCCTTTGCCTTTCGACAGCCACTCTGTCGACAACCTCAAAAATCCCATTGAAACATGTGGAGTGAAAATTACCAAAAGGCAAGACTAGATTCGAATAATCTATTCCCTTTCGATTCCCAAGTATCTAAGCTACACTGAAGGTGTTAATCGATCAAAGGTTGCGGAAATCGTGAGCAGCAGGTTTTCTATGGAAGAACTAGTTTAGACTTCCAATAGTACCTAGATGTTTTAGAGAGTAAAATCTTAGTTACAGTCAACGAGAACTCTGCGATTTGAGTGAATTCTTTTGTATGGTAACATTGACAACGAAAGACCAAAGCGCAGTGTACCATGAGACAGTGCTCCCACATCACGTAGTGATGGTAGGCGGTTAAGTCGCGCCTCCTTTACCTCGGAGAAATTGTATATCCCTCTAAGAAATGTTTGGGCAGAACACAAGAAAATCCGCCTAAGTCCCTGAGAATGAGGGTTACCGCGTGTTCTAGCGTATGCCAGAACACATCTGAAGAAATAACGATCGACCGATAAAAGAGGGAACTTTTGAAGCATCCACTTTACCTTGGGGAGAGGTTCGGATATGCTCCATAGGTCAATAAGTATAATATCTGCATCAATGTTGCGTAGCCTATGTCCCATCTGAGTAGAATATATGGCCGAATCTAAGCATTTAAATCCAATTATAAGCGCACAGCTCATCGGATTTCTTGTGTAGGTAGCTCCCTTTCTCCCATAATACCCTTGTTACCCCCACTGATACAAATTCATTGTAATGTAACCGCAATACGTTGANTGGTGGCTTTGGTGCATATTGGAATAACTGCGAGTGTATTCGATCGTATCTCATAAATTTGAACCTCCTTAAAATTATTAAACCATCTTCAGAAGAATTATGCTCCTCTGTTATTCGGAAATACGCAGAACATGAGTTTTAGCGCTCGAAGCCTTTCGAAAGTTCCAGTGATACAACGTCGCTTTTACCTGAATGTGCTGCCGATCCTAGGTGTTGCCAAGGCGAACTCTGAAAGGAGAAGTTGACAGGAGCTTTTCATGTCTGCGATCGCTCGAAATTCCAGCCCAATCCTTGAAAACCGAGGCAAAAAAGCGGCAAAGTAGCTGGAGGATTTGGAATGCTTTACTGGGAGTTGCTGAATAAGCTGCAGGCTTTCACAGACGGTATTTGAACGAAGCAGCTTCTGACGTTCGTAGTGGGTACAGGTTTAGGTTTATTACGTGTGCAAAAGGCACAAGTGGGAAAGATATATCGAATAAAAAACGAGGTATAAACATCATTTCCATTGTGGGGAAGTCCAAGTAGGAATCCAAGAAGAAAAAAAAGTGACGAAGATCGACTTCTTTTTTGATATATTTTGAATTCTTGTTATTTTCTCTCGTCACTGGCATTTGCAAGCTACGCTGCCTTATCTGTTGTTCTTCATGAATTGAACTTTGACATCTCTCAGTGCCGATGAAGCAGATATTATTTGCGAGAAGAAAGCACATGGAACTTAGGTGACGTGCTCCATTTCTTGCAGGCATCACCTGTAGGGATTGGTGAGAGGAATTTCCGGCGAGTTGGAAGAGATCACTTATGCTCGCTATGATCGTTATGTTGTTGATATGGGTGAAAAAATGTGAAAGGATAATCATTTAATCGCTTCTTCCGAAACAGCGTAGTAAATCCGCTACTGAAACGATGATGATCACATTGCGGCAAAACGGGGGACGGAACATTCACCCACAACTGGACGGACGCGGCAAACCGTGCGGCGAAATTCGTGATGATTGAAAAGACTCTGGCGCCATCATTGGGGCACAAATTTGAAACGAGATAGATAACTAGCAACAGCTGGTACTACTTATCCAATCTACTTGGAACCCGTGCCCCAATGATAGGCGCGAAAGCCGTTTTAATCACCACTAATTTCGCCGCGCGGTTTGACGCGTCCATCCAGTTCTGGGTGAATGTACCCATACCCCGGCAAAACAGGTGGGAGATCAACTAATATTGCAGCTTCATAAGCGACCAGTTTTTTTGAGTGGCTTCACATCCTACTATTGTGCGGACATGTGACATACAAACTAATCGTTAGGACAGATAAAGTTTGCGGCTTTCTTAATAGAGAGTCTCAATTGAATAGAAGAGTATTCTTAGTTCTTATGGCAAGCAAATCGTTGTCATTTGACACTAATATCTGCAATCCTTCTTGTGTTAATTTATCAAGTACGGAACTCTAGTCAATTGAGTGAATTACTAGTCATTCACAGTTGATCTACTGTATGCAACTGCTTCAATACTAACTACAAATGATGACGTGCTTTGGAAGTAATACGTGACCACTTAGCAAGTGTAATTGGATTTTATGGGGTGTTCAGAAAGTAAATTTTTTTATGATAACAATATTATTGAATTGTATATGGTCCAGTTCAACTCCAATTCACTCATGAATGAATCAGGAGTAATATTAGGAATGTTCAAATTTGGAAAACCCTCTGAGCACTAAATCCCATACAACTTTCCAATTTTTCTGCTGACTAAATTGTATGAATTTTGAATTTCTCTCGCTAGAACACCCCATGCCCCCTTCTTTTGCGCAGCTTTGGCCTCCCCTTCCTAATGATTCATTCAGCTTACTCAGCTTATGATAGTACACTCCATCGCTGGTCTTAATAATGCTTGGACAAAATAAACTATCCATTTAACCTCCTAAAAACAGCATCATTCTGTTGGGTAATTATTGGCTTTTTGAGCCAGAATCAGTCGAACTCAATTCCGGACGTAGCTATATCAGCTATCTAAATATATAATTATTGGGTTGTTCAAGTTTGAGAATAACTGTGGAAGAATATAAAATTGTATCCTTAGAGAAATTTGAAGTCCGCGCTCAAACTTATTGTGTAATTTCGCACGTTTTTTTTNTTTTTTTTACGGTGGCTCTTGGTTCAGGGAGCCTGTATGAAAAGTGTCCCTATATACTTCTGTGTACGAGCGGCTCGTCGACGTTTGGAAGAAATGAAAAGGTACAACGAAAAGAAGATGGCCAAAAGAAGATTTAATGAACTCAAAGGAACTCTGAAGCAGTTCACGATTGAAGCTCCAGACCTACTAGAGTTTCCTCCGGAAGACCCCGAGGTTTGCTTTTCCATCTAATAGATTTATATGTACTTTGTTTCCGTTTTTTCCATTCATATAGTCTTATCAGGGAACGGTAGCTTTCTTCAATTATTTCACTGCATTTAACAGCAGATAGAGACAAAGAAGTCGGTGTATTGATGCTGTTGATCTTGAGCCCTTTTGAGGCTTTCATTAAAACTTCTTCACGCTGATGTTCTGGCGGTATCACTCCTTCCGTGCCTGGAACGGAAACGAACAACTTGGGAATCCCCGATCAACGTTTTCGCAACCTACTGAATTTCGAGACGCCCCAGGGCACGCACGCAGTTTAAAGGAAGGCACTCACCGTAGCTTCCTGGGTTTCTCAAAATCATCGAGCAACCGACAATCGAACCAGTGTAAACTGAGCTTGGTCTTCAAAAAAATCACCTTCGAAGGAGCTGCCTTGTGTAAGGCCACAGTTACAGTGTAATTTTTAGCATTTTCCAGCGGTTTATTTTGGATTGGGGGCCTGTATCCAAGATGCCTCGAGAATATAAGCACCACGCAGAATTCGTGTGATACGACCTCCGCGGTGACTCCATGATGTCTCCTATTAGCGTTTTAAATTTGGAGAACAACGGCTCACTTGATTCGTGGCAGCTAAGTGCTCTTTGATTCTCACATGAAACGGTCTTGTCGTACAGCCAAATATTAATCCTCGCAACCACGGCAAGTGATCTTGAAGACTACCCCAGACGTCGTGCAGTCGTCCTCCCTGCACAGACCGCACGGTAGAAACTGTACATGAGCGGTCCTAGAGCGGGGTTTGAACAGGCGTGGCACAGGAGGCACTTACAAAAATGCCTTATACCAACTCGGGCTTTTTCCGTTGGCCTTTTCACAGTAATCTCGATGCAGACGAGCCAACTAACACTGCTCACTCTCGGTTGCGAGATGATTCCGAAGATCCCATGTTGCTACGGGACTTGGTCCTTCTTTAGAGTCAGAGCGTACCCTGGAGCTCTCGAATTCGAGAAATCTCGAGAAAAAGCACAAAATCAGCAGCATCGAGAGACAATAATGCCAAGGGTAATAAATAGGCGTCCGTGGAGATTACACAGTCTTGAGATTTGATGATGTATGAATAGCGTATGAATATGTAGACATATTCATATGCTTGAAACTTTTATAGCTCTATAAAATTTCTATAGAAACTATAGTACGGTTTTTCCATTCTGAAGAATTCCCTTCATTATTCCACCTGACACCTTTTGATTTCAATGAAATCAATGCTAGATTCTCAAACTTTAGCTTTGACTCAGTTCACTTATAGGTTGCACAGTTACTTCANGAGGCCACTGGACTCCCTATCGGAGCTGCAATCATTCCCGCAAGGAAGATATATCTACGAGTCCCAATATTTTCGCCGTCCGACTTGCCCATTAGTGACACGGTTACGACTCCTTCCGTTTCCGGAGGACCGGCCGCGAATTTGCCTATTTTTGAAGAAGAAAAGCCGCGAATCAAAGACCATGTTTTTTCATCTTCGTATTCACAGATTGAGGAGAAACCACCAACTATTTCCACTCGGGCAAATTCGAAAAGTTTTGGTAGATGTCAAGTCATCTGAAAGTGTTCTGAGTTCATATAATCCTTATTTCTGTCTTCCAGTGTAACAAGGAAGTTGAGTATTTCTTATGGTTCTAGGTTTATATGTTAAGTGGTAGCAAAAATGTTGCCCCTTTAAGCGTGATTTGTTTACAGGTGATTTTTTATCCATCTCAATTTGCACTACAAGTGTTTATAGGCTTTCTTATATCGATAATACTTATGTTGATGCGGTGAACCGTACCGTTGCCTGTACATTCTCTTCCTCATTGACGTGTAATTTTAGCGTTTAAAATTAACTTAGCGTGCCACATTGTTCTTTTATTATGCTGCCTGATCTGATTCTTTTCAAATCTTCTCAGGGATTTGTCAAAAATAGGTGCTGAATGAAGTGAACTTCTTACTTTCTTGGCGTCTAGACACGTGTTTGAGTAGTATTTTAGACTGGAGTGAAGGTACTGGGCTTTGAGTAGTATTAAGACTGTTGCAATGGTCTGAAATGTGTTATGGATTGTTCTTGAAGATTTTCTCAGCAGTGCTCTTGTACCGCAGCTCGAGTAGCTCACCTTCACGTCTAAGTTGAATGGCTTCTAGTAACCGTTGCTTTGAAATAGAAAGCATCGGGTGTAGGTGATGTTAGCTACTCGTTGCTAGTTTAAAAGTGTTGTCTGAAGCCTGCATCCCTCCTGGGTCGGTCAATTGGTACCGGACTTGCCTGGGAGGATGGAAGTACTGGCTTGTACATCGAGTGGAAACCGCAATTCATTACGTGAGACCCACGCATTCAATATGCCACTACCATTCTGAATGGAAGTCGACTGCACAGGCGCATGACTCAGTCGGGAACGATTATCGGGTGAGAATTGATTGGTTGATAGTTTTTTGATGAAGAATCCAAACGATTTCTTTTGCAACTCAGAATAAGGCCTGTTCTTTCAGTGAATGAGAAAGTTGAACGATAAAATATCACTAATATTACTACGGCGAATTTTGGTTCACAGATGACGCCAAGCCAGGTCGAGGTATTGTGTTGACTGAATTAACTTTTTTGCAGCGCTTTCCTACAGTATCCACCAGTTTCTCGAACATGGGAAGGATTTTGCATCCCTACCCAGCCCTGATTACGCCATCATCAACACTTTTGTTCTCAAAGTTGCATAATTCGCTTTCTCAGCTACATGGCATTCATGTTTACTAACTAACGGTTGTGTTTCGGATTAGCGGGTGTGCGGCATTGCTTGGATATCTCTTTTGCTTCGATTTATTGCGCACTCGTGCCGAGCGGCTTTTTGCTGCCGTTCTTAGTGGCGGCAGATCTAGTGTTGTCTTCGCATAGGCCCGGCATGCTTCGGAATGTTCTGCAACCACTCCCCTTGTGTTCTAGCTGGAGCTCCTTGAGCGAGCTTCCGGTCTGTGTGATGACTGATGCGATGACTCAATGGTTGGAATCAGACTGATCAAACCTGCTTCGTCAGTACCGCTGCGACCTTAGTGAAATCAAGGTTAGCATCATCCATATCGCCTCTGTTTTGCATGTAAGTTCTTGCTGGAGCTCTTGCTATGGTTTTTATGCCCGCGTAGGTGGTTACTGCCAATATGGAAGCTACCCTGCCCCAACTACGCTTGGGAGATGATTCTACGACGTGGAGCCTACAAGTACGCACAAACGCGCTCGTGACGGCCGTTTTTGCGGACCCTGGAGTAAAAAATGTTTTATGTCGGCGTTCTCTTCGGAAGAATATTCGATTACGCGGGAATTAACTGGTAATATCAAAATACCTTGGCAAACTGTAACATGATCGACTTCCTCAAAATCGTTCGCTTTCGCAAATCTTACGGCTTCATTGACCCCTCTTTTGGTAAGTGGGTGCCACCGTCGTGTGCGAGACAGAGAAGAGGTCCATCGCGGAGGATTAGGGTACGGAAAACATAGAGAAACAAAACACAGAACAGCTAAGCTTTCTGGATCCCCGTTATGCTAACGTGAGCTCGTTTCGGGTCCAACTTAAGGAAGCGCCCGGGTTCCTCATTTCATGCGCATGGACAGTAATCAGTCTGGATAGGGCAAAGATTAAAAAGAACCGAAGACTTTCAATCGCCTCTGATGCTGTTGGGGCGACATCATGAATGTTTTCACTGAAACGAACCCAAAATCCCTTNTCTTTAGTTATCCCGACCATATTTCCCTCGACACCAGAACAGATTCCGAGCAAACTCGGGTCGTCATCATTTCTTGCGGTTGTGCAAACAACAATACAGCAGTGAATATATTCTACCTGACGCCATCTTACTCTTTTTGTTGTTGTGGCTCTCGATATGCATTGAATTTCGACCGAATTACAATGAACGCATCGAACGAGTCTCAATTTCAGATTGGCTTCTCTTTTCTTTAGTGTATGATATGAGTGCCGAATTTTCACTTTTTATCACGTGGCAAGGTCCTCCCCAAGGTTCATTCAATTTTGTGTATCTTCCATTGAAAAGTTCCCTCGGGAGTTTGAGGAAAACTCCTCACCTATTTTGAGCAGCTTCTGCATTTCGACCTTTGCTCTGCTATCATACCCCTCTTTGATGAGTGTTTTGTGCTTTTCGTTTATTTCTTTTTTGTGCTTTTGTTAGTTGAATGCATGCTAACAGCTCATGCTCGTAGTGATCCGCGTCGAGGTGGTCGGACGAAATGTGGTCTTGGGGTATCATTAGGTTCAAATGCGTGAAACTGATAAAACGGGCTTTCAACTTTAGCCTTATCCAAGGAAGAGTTACGAACCACTAAAGGGCAAAAGGTAACAGTAAGTACTATACAGATGGAATTACGGGTCTTTTTTTGAGCACTCATTCCGATGATTTGATTGCCCTCCCCATCATACCTTTTTAAATAAGATTACACCCTTCTGTTTCCGAATAGATGTTCGATTGCCGTTAGCTTGCAGATGCCTGATAAAAGCGTAAGATGTATAATAACCAGGCATTGGTGAAACCGTGTCTATCTTGGGTGAGGAGGAGGGAGGATGGGGCAGAGATTTGGACGAATCACCTTAGTTCTCTGTACTCGACGCAAACTCTTAGTGTACCATTTTTCTTCTTAACCAGAACGACCTGACATGCCGACAGGAACAGTTTCGCTCCCATATGCCACATTCTACTTGATGACTCCTTTAAAATCCTTGCGTGCTGCTATTGGAACTGGCCTGGTTTTCTACCTTATGGGTTTATGATATGCCGTGTCATTTTCGTGGAGTACCAAATCTGTCTGGATTAGTTTCGCAAATTTGAGTGCAAACACGTCGCTGAACTTCTTTTATGGAGCAAGTTTACCCGTTCCTTTACGTCTCTATCTGGCTCAATTATTTTGACGAAACCGAATCGTTCTGTTGCCATTGTCCTACTCGCTCTCCCTTCTTGAATACGATTCTTCATTTGATTTGTGGATGATATGCTCGGTATGCTCACTTATTCCCGCCCGGTGTGTCACAGACACCATCTAGTACGAGGTTGTGATAGGAGATATGTCTTCGGGGCGCCGGCACCTGCCCATAGCAGCGTTAGAGTGCGGATTGCCTTAAGCTTCTTCCGATACGGAGTTTCTTCGCTAAATTTCCGGTTGTAGTATTTACGAGGGCTCAAAGGTGTTAGTGCCCAAACTTATTGATTCGTTCACGCTTACCCCGACAAACGCTGATACGGACTCCACTGGTAGCTTGAAGTAATTACTACAGGATGTTCCATGTACGGCTTTCTATGAACCTCGGCATAACTGTATCACTGAGTTTACTGTTTTCTTGAACTCTTCACGAGGTTTTTAAGTATGCTTTATTAGGCTGACGTTTCGGCGAAATCGCCTTCTTCAAAGCCTGAAAGGATCATAACAATCTGTGACTGTCCGATCAAACGTATCCACCAACCCCACTAAAGCTCGAGACCCCCAGGGCACGCAAGTGTTTGAAAGGAGAACCATTCACCGTAGCTTTCATTCAGCTTCAGCTTTCGTAGAACATTTTTCATTCTGTAGCGCTTCGGTAAGTCAACTACTGCCATTCCAGCTAGGCCGCTGCCTACACATCCCTGCCCTTAAGCGTGATCTGATCCCTTTGGATAGAGTTCCATATGCGATCTGCGCATTTATCTTAAAAAGTCTTGAAACAGATGTAGCATACAAGCGTTATTTCCACTGCTCTCCCGGATACTTCATGTCACGAGAGTTGGAGAATCTTCCGAATCATCGTCTGGCCTGCTGCAGAAAGGCTGTACTCCTGGTAAAGACAGTGCAAACGAAATTTCTGAATAAAAGTTCAGCGGAATCACTTGTGTCAACTGTCAACGATATTCCTTGACATGTTCTTGATTCGCCGCTCGGCGTAGTCTCGCACTACGGCCGGGGTGTTTGCGTTGATGTCACTACAGAGCACCTTTTCAATGTCTGATTGCGTGATCGCGTGTTGTCACTGAATTATGCTGTTCTTCACACCCACTCAACTGTCACACTTGTCGCTCAAGCTGTTTCGCTGCCCCAAGTCTTCAGCTTCTTGTCGCAATTGCTCAACCTCCAGAACCTGTTGGGTTAGCGAGCGTTGTAGGTCGACGAAGGCGTGCCTTTCCACACTCAGATCCTTGCCTATTTCTCACACTGTCAAGCTTACTCCGGTTTCGTGACAGTGGAAGATCGCGCCAGCTTCTTTCATTCGGATAACGCTGCTCACCAACCTATTCGCCCTTGAAGCTAGCTGACGCTGCGTATTCGGGAACTTTTGAGCAGATTCGGGAACTTTTGAGCAGAGATCGCGCCAGCTTCTTTCATTTGGATAACGCTGCTCACCAACCTATTCCCCCTTGAAGCTGGCTGACGCTGCGTATTCGGGAACTTTTGAGCAGTCTGAAAACACTTCCGCTGTTCCAGGCTTACTCTGCTAGCTAATTTCAGCTAGCTGAGTCAGCCCAGGGCATCATTATTATCGTTTCGGCGTTCATTATTTCTTTCACGAACGCTACTTGCTCCCGCGGTGCAGTTA